ATATATAGTGATTTTGCCTCCCTCGATCGCGTCGTTCATTCAAACAAAATAAAACGAAAGGGATCGGCTGGAAAACCCTACGCGCAAACGGGTGGGATTTGCTCAAATGCTTCAAACCCAAAACAATTTCTCTCTACCCCTCCTCCCGCTTCCTCTCCTCTACTCTGCTTGCCTACTCTCTCTCGTTCGCCCTCTTCTCTCCTCTGCTCTGCCAAGCTAGCGCTGGAAAACCCCTCCTCTTACAACAGACCATATCACCAGTGGCATCATATATATCAGAGCTCTCTATTGAATCTGAAGCAGCACGAGCAGTTCAAGATGCAGAAGTTTCTGGAGCATCCAAAATTCCAATTCCAGAAGCAGATCCTCTACTAGCATATCACGTAGTTGATCGAGATCGGGATTAGGTGAATATGAATTGCCCGACCCAATGCTTTCAGTTAGTTACAGACCCTTTACCTTCGCTATGCTCAGGTAAGTGCTCCGCCATATCCCTACCTTCGTGAATATAGTCCAACCTAAATAAAGAAGAAAACCCAATTTTTTCCCAAAACGATATTTATAAATAAAACCCTATGGTTTACAATGTTATGCATCAAATTCGTGAAATTATTTTCAATGGAAAACTAGCTATCGTGGAAAACCTAATTTTTTTCCAAAACCCAACCCAAAAACCCACGTTTTTTTTTTCCAATAAATCATCGAATTCTTACTTCAAAAATCACATTTCCTAATAAATCCAGAATCAATCACCAATTCATTACTCCGAAATCACAGGTCTAGCCAATCATATGAGACCACAGTTCTGATCTTTGGAGTAAAAACGTAGGGTTTTATTTACAGTGATCCACCCACTGTAAATACATTTTTTTAGTTCCTTTCTCTTCTTTTATTGCTCCTTTTTTTTCTTTTTTCTTTTTTTGATGCAGTTCTAAAGTGATTGTAGAGCAAAAATTTGGATTGCTTTTTTGTTTTTCTTTTGCAGGTCGATTGCTTACTGCATTTTCTGTCACCCTCTATTCAGAAATACTCAATACCCAATTGCGCTTTCAGATTCAGTAACAAAATAATGGTGGGGAGTCCAAGGCTCAATCCTAGAAGTGAGAATAAACTACTTGCTCTTTGCTTTTTTCTATTATTTCTTCTGTTTATTCATCATTATATTATTCATTTTCTGATGGGTGTTTGAGTTTTTCAGTTTTGAGATTTTGATATTGTTTGCTAATTGGCACCACTTTCTCTCTCTGAGTTTCATTATTTCTTCTGTTTCTCTATCATGACTTGCAGTTCTTTTCTTATTGATGTATGTGTTCTTCCTTGTTAATATTTGGGTATGCAATTCTGTTGCTTTATTTAGTCATTACATACTGGTGTTATTTTCTTTAATGGGGTGTTGATTTCTTGATGGTATTTATGAAAACTGTAATTTCATTCGAGAATGGAGGAAAATGAATATTCAAAGAAAACATGTTTTTGTAATTTGATGTGGTGTGGAATGTTTGTGATTTTGAGATTTACGCCAAGACGTTGAGTTCTTTATGTTGAGGGCTTTTGAATTTGTAGCAGGTGAAAATATGGGCAAATGGCCTGGTTCTTCCTGTTCTCTTTGTTTTCTTGGTAGTGGCCCAGTTTTTCTTTCTTAGAGAAGTTTTATATAATGAAGCATTTTAAATAATTTTGGTTACCTGGTTGATTACCATATGTTCTTGTTCTTTTTGCCTTGAAGTGCATGAATATGAAAGTTGGAGTTATTCTACTTGAGGATTACCTTTTCATTGCTAGTTATTGCATTTAATAAACAATGGTTCTCGTTTCCTTTTTCGTTTTTGGAGTATTTCTGTTTGATCTTATTTGTATTTTTAAGTTACAGAATCCATCAAGGAGTTGTTGTTAACAAGAAAATTTTATGAGTTGATGTTGTTATTACTATCATTAGTACTAGTATGTTCTTTTTCCAATGGAATTCGATGTTTTATCTTTTAGATTCTTGCTCTTTTTTTTAGGGTGTGACATTGTTCCTTTTCAGACTTTTTGTTGAAAGTCATCGCAATCTTGCACTTTTGCCTATAAACGTGGTGGCACCATCCTTGGTACTTCAAGAGGAGGTCATGACACCACCTAAATAGTTGATAGCATTGAAGACCGAGGGATTAATCAGGTTTGAAGTCCTACTTGGTTTACTTCTAACTACTTTCCTTACTTTATTTATTTTGATTCATGGAAATCATTTATGTAATTCATGATTTGATTATTAATACTGTTTTTAATTTGGGGATCATAGGTCTACATAATAGGAGGAGATGGGACACAGAAAGGAGCATCTATAATATATAAGGTACCAAAATATCTGTATAAAAAATTTGTAAGATTTATTATATGTTTGTTGTCTTCTTTGGTGGTAGTGCTTATTACTCTCTAATGTAAATTGCTTGGCTGGATCAATGCTTCTAATTACAGGAAATTGAGAGACGTGGTTTGAAAGTGTCGGTTGCTGGAATCCCCAAGACTGTCGATAATGATATCGCTGTAAGTTTAAATATGCAAGCAAAGAATATAAATATGAGATTATTTATGTTCGTTTTTCATTTGGTATGGTGCGTGGATTATAGGTTATAGACAAGCCTTTTGGATTATAGGTTATAGCAAAGTCTTTTGGTTTTGACCAATTATAGTTGTAATTGGTAATTGTTTAATTAATGGTAATCTTTTGTTAATGAAATTCTCTGATTTCTGGTATTATTGAGTTTATGTCGTTATTTTGTTTTTTGAGAAACATAAACACAGAGAGAGAGATCATTCAAATCCATAACCTATAAGAGAGAGATGGTTATCCAAAAAGTCCGTGATGGTTATAAAGCTATTATGCATGCCCTTTGGCATGGTAAAAGGTGAGAATATATCAAACACTCAACATAAAATAAAATAAAATAAATGAGAACTGTAGGGATATAAATGTATTTAACTATCCAAGTAAACCCACATTGCACATTTTAATGATATATATGAAAAGGAAAGTTACCAAAAAATCACCAAATCGGTTATTTAGATGCTCCATAAAGATGTCCTTTATATGCCCTCATAAAAAGGTCTTTTACATGCCCTTAAAAGTACATGAATATTCAATATTTGCATCACCCCAAAGTCATCTACAAAAAGATGTATTTACATGTCTCCAAAATTCAAAAAATTAATCAAGTCCTTTACCTGTCTTATAAATAAGTCTTTTACATGCCCGCAAATCCCATAAAGGTTTTCTCCTATTAGTCCTTGGTTCTCCAGGAAATTGCTCTTATTGGTCCGTCATATCTGCAACAGATGAACAACATCAATGCACCAACACAAGAGGTCCGCAAAACCAAGTCACTGATTTACGAAAGAGGTCCTCAAAATACTCACTGACCTCTCAGGTAACACTTGCAACAAGTGCCAACCAAAATCTGTTTTGCTTCTAACTACTTTATTAAGGGATGCACTGAATGCAACCTCCTCAAACTTTGGCACCTACGAAATTTTACAGAGGAATTGTTTAAGAAAATGTTTATATCCATGGTTATCTATCGCTATCTGCACATGCGCACAAGCATTAATGCATGCAGAAAAAGAGCGAGATGCATGATGCATGTGTCCAGTGCTTAAATTAACAAAGTCTAAGCTTGAATGGACATAGCAGACAAATCATCTTGATGAAATTGGGTCTTGAATTTAGGAGAAACCCCGTCTACCTTATCGAGGGTGTTGAGCTTATGTATAGTGGCATACCATGTCTCTAACCAATTTCATCAAGATGATTGCATGACGCGAGTTTTGTGAATTACTGAAGTTTCAGGATCATTCATGATAATGCATAAATACATAATGCAAAACTTCACATAAATACATAATTAAGAATGAGTTTTTATAAGAGAAGTCTCAGCTATACTTCTCTTATCTATCAGCATGAGAGGATTTCTAAAGACATTTTACTAAATGTGAATCATATTGAAAACCTGTACGTCTTTCAAAATCAATACTTCTATCAAGGAGTGAATGAAAAGTGGATCAAACATAGCTGAATAAAGCACACCATTTGTCCCTTTTGAACACATCCAAGCATTCCCCCCTCTTCCTTTGATGGACAAATGGAGAATTCAACTGCCAAATCACTCAAATCCTCTCCTGCTAGAATATATTAAAAATATTAAAGAGATCACCAGAATTATGTTTGTTTTGTTTTGTTTTTTTTATTATTAATTATGTTAACTGATAACGAGCAATATGTTTACTAAAGCAAAGTTCACGATGAGATAAACCCGCAATAAATAAATTCTTGACGTCACTAAAGGAATTCCCGAATAAGTACAAGATAAAGATTCAACCCTGCAACCTAATAAATGTGTCATTCTTAATACCACAATTTGTGGAAAACCAATACCAATAAGTTTGGTTTTACTCAAATTAATTTTAAGTCCAGTTGAGAGTTCTACATTTTCAAAAAAATCCATAAGCAAGTGATTTCCTTAACCGTTAGATTACAAAATATAATGGTATCATCAACATAAAGTAAATATTATAATATAAGACTATTACTATCAATATTAACACTTAATATAGTCAATTCATTAAGCATGGCATTAAAGCTCTCAGCTATCAAAGTATATAAAAATGGTGAAAGAGGATCCCTTTGTCTCAATCATTTTGATTATTTGAAAAAAAACTAGTTGCTTTGCTATTAACAAGAACAAAAAAATGGGTAGAAGACATGCAACCATCAATCCACAATTTTCACCTTGTGTGAAAACTCATTTTAGCCGTGATGCTTTGTAGTATCCCTCAATCAACCTTATGGTATGCATTCTCAAAGTCTAGCTTACAAATAATGCATGTTTTGCCATCGTTGATTCTGGAGTACATACATACTTGTGCAACCAAAATACTATCCATAATTTACATGTCTTTCAATAATGGTGATTGTGGTCCATAACCTAACACATTCTATAGTATGCCTTCTCTCTCTCTAACATTTTATTTCATTGAACTCCTCTCTCTCTCTCCAAATTCTAATGAATGGTGGCTATCACTTTGTTTTGTTTCTCTCTCTCCCTCTCTCATATTTAGTTTATAATCATGTTAACACAAGGGAGTGCCCACCTAGACTCAAACTGCTGCAAATGAGAAACCCGGCGATGAAGAAACTGAAATGCAGAATGAGCTAGATGATAAAAGAGACAATGATGAGAGGGACGAGAATGGTGAAAGCACGGAGTGAAAGCTCGATTTTCTTCTAAATTTTCATTGAATCTCTGTTAATTTGGAGGCCTACATTGTGAATATGGTAAGTTCTTTTAAATATGGATTTTTCAAAAACCAATTCGAAAATGAGCAGTTCTTTTATATTCAGATTTTCAAAATCAAAAGTCAATAATTTTAGTTTTTGAAAAATCCAAAAATTTTCGAACATTTCGGTTTTGTAAAAATTGAAAAAGGGCAGATTTGACTTTTTAAAAAAGTGTTATAAAGGTGAAAAAAACAAATATAAATGTAATAACGAAAACTTAGAGATAATCTCGTAGTAACAATAAATATAACATATACGTAAGTTATTATCCTTATTTCTTTTATTGTCCCTTTAAAATTTCAATTTATAAACTCATATTTTTATTTTATTTCTTATTATGTTTTGGATCACTGATGCATATCCTAATTTGGATCGTTGATCTAGTGATCCAACATGGATTTGTAGGTAATCAATCTGCCCCACCTATTCGGGTTTTAAAACACTAGAAAAAATCAAGGTTTTAAAGAACATTTCGCTGACTCGAATCATTTATCCTGAAACTAGTTTAGATCGATGGATCCGCGATTAAGATCAGAGGATCGTCCAGATCAGGCATTATTTTAGTTTTTAATATGTTTTGGATCACCGATGCATATCCTAATTTAGATCGTTGGTCTAGCGATCCAATATGGATTTGCAGGTGAACAATCTGCCCCACCTATTTGAGTTTTAAAACATTATAAAAAATCAAGGTTTTAAAGAACGGTTCAATGACCTGGATCATTATCCTGAAATCGGTTCAGATAGGTGAATCCACGGTTGAGATAGGAGAATCGTCCAAGTCGGGCATTACAAAAATTTTTTAAAAACTGCTAAATTTTTTTAGAATCTAATTTTTAGGCTTTCAGAAACAACTAATGGTATTGCGCTATAGTTTTTCATGATTTTATTGAAAATATGTAAATCTTGAGAACTTGTCTCATGTTTGAGTGTTTATCTACCACTAATTATACTTCAATGAGAACAACTCATCTTCCCTATCTCATTATCTGAATGGATAAATAAGTATGTGCAATAAATGAAAGAAAGACCTATGTGATCTTTTGCCAGAGAAATAAATTTTTTTTTTTAATAATAATAATAACCCTTTATATTTTTGGCAACAAGATCACTCACAGATGATCTTATTACAAACAATAGAAATTCCAAAATAAATAACACATCAATAAAATAAATCGCAACTACTTGATGTCATTCATACAACCTAATACTGTATTTGAGAATATAAAATAAAGAATAAAGAAATAAAAGAAAAGATGCCAGAGATTACCTCAACCAGGCTTTTTACACCGCACACTGAGTCACCACATCCAATGGCGCGGGATCTATTGTCTAGCTTCAATCTCGAACCGGGATAATTGATTTCGGCCAAACTAGATAACCACCCCTTAAAATCTCTACTAAATCTTAACCTCCAAAATTAACTTAGGCCCCCTCTAATTTTTCCAACCCGCAAAATTAACTTAGGTCTAAAGAGGAGAGAGAAGGTTAGAGAGAAAAATATAGAGGAGAGAGAGTGGGGCGTGTCCCTCTAGGAGAGAGAGAGGTTATGGGAGAGAAAGAGAGGTTTTGTTGAGATTGGGGGGAGAACACCCCTATTTGGCGTGAATATTTAGGTTTAAGGGTTCTTAGGGTTTTTTCATAGTTTATCTTTTTCATGAAATTGAATCTAGACCGTTGATCAATGTGACTTGTGGGGTGAGAGATCTGAGCCATCAATTTCGTAGGTAGGCCATCAACATTATGGAAGGTGCTTGGACCTTTATCCCCCTTTTCTTAAACCATTTTCCCATCAATGTATTTAAATAAAATAAATATTATACATTCCATAAAATTGCATGATCCATGTCACATATTCCATAAAGATATGTCAAATATTATCAAGTAAATAAATACTACCAAATATAAATAAGATAAGGTCAATATTTATTATCTATTCAAATTGACCATATCCCTTAAAAACAAACTTGCTATAAAACAAATAAAGCCATGGTTAATATTTCCCTTCCAAGATTTGACCACATGCCACAAATCAAACTTACCTTAACTTAGAGACTTGAACATAAAACAAACAAAGAATTCAAAGGGTGGGGCGTGCCACCCTTTTGTGGCACATGTGGGCCACCACCCACATGCCACATGGTGGGCCCATGTACACTTTTGGCCCTTATGGAATTTTATAAAAAGTTTTAAAATAAAACGAATTAATATATATATTTGAATTTTTACAAATTTGTAAAATCGATAACTGTATTTTTATAAGTCAAAAAATTATAATTAAAATATTGAGAGATTCATAAAAATTCAAATAATAAAACTAAAATCATTTCAATAATAAAATGAACACAATTAAATTAATATGATGGGAAAATGATCTATATGGTTTTAAGAATTCAATCTGTAAATATGGGATACTCCATCTCCAACTGTGGACTACAGACCACGCAAGATTTATCGAACCACCCAGTGTTTTTCATGATCCACAGTCCAAGCAGGGGCTCATTAGCGGGTCACCAAAGTCCGATCGATGAATCAAGGGGTCGCAATCTCAGTCTGTGGATTATAGGTCCTACCCTAGAGACGAGTCAAGGTCACCACGACCTGATGTAACCACAGCTCTATGGTGCATAAAGGTATCTCTAGAACATGCATACGCTTCACCCAAAGGTGGATATCTGGCTTTCCCAAATGATCTATCGATATGCATACCGTGTGTTGGAACATGGATGAGGTTTTGGCCCCCATCTCAGTTGGCCTACCGTCACACACAAGGGTTACACAGTCCCTCATCTCACTCATTTAGGCATAAGCTTTGACCTCATCAAGGGTTAACCCAAAACCCTCCTCGGCTAATTCTTTATGCCCAAGTACCTTGGGTTTTCCAATCGACTGGCCTAGATCGATAAGCACAGTCCGGTATAAGCAAACATCATTCGCTTAGTATGGTTCTCGTGGGACCACACTCCCATTGAGTTTATGTTTCACTATAATAAAAGTATTCCAATACACACTCATAAGGCATTTAAAGGCCACATAAATCTAACATCTCTCACTTGGCCTTTGAAGGCCTTACTTTCTCTCTTCCTCACTTTGTCTCATCCCCATCTCTTTCACATGTCTTACAAAAACATTAGGGACAACTCCCTTATTCAGAGGGTCTGTAATCATCAAATATGTAGATATGTAGCTGATCTTGATCTCTTTCAATCTCACATCATTCTCAGGTGATAAAAATAAGGCTTAATATGCTTAGAGTTCTTGTGAAATCGAGACTCCTTAGAGACACAAATAACCGCAGTGTTATCGCAGAAAATTCGTACTGCCTCACAACGTACATGATGAAAATTAAGTTGATTAAGAAACTTTTTAATCTATACGGCCTCCTTGGCTGCTAAACAGTATGCCACATATTCGGATTCCATGATGGACAAGGCCACAATATCTTGTTTCTTTGACTTCTAAGAAACCGCACCCCCTCCAAGCATAAACACATATCCAAATGTAAACTTCGCATCATTTGGATCCGCGCCATAGCTTGCATCTGAATATCCCTCTATTGTTATTTCAGTTCCCCCTTTATAAATGGGCGCATAGTTCATGGTCCCTTATAAATATCTGAGAATTTTTTTTACAGCTTTCTAATACTCCTCTCCTAGATTACTTTGGAAACGGCTCACCAAACTCATGACAAAGGACAAGTCAGGCCTTGTTCCCGTCATGACATACACAAGGGACCCAACTGCGCTCTTGTATGACACTCTCTCTATGGCTCTTATATCTATGACATCGGTAAGACACATCTTTTTACTAAGCTTCGTCTTTTTTGTCAATTGGGGTAGACATGGGCTTACACTTACTCATATCAAACTTTTCCATAATCCTCTTACAGTAGGTTGCTTGGGAAAGTTGGATAGTCTTCTCTCTCATGTTTCTTATTATCTTGATGCCCAACACATATGAAGCTTCTCCAAGATCCTTCATATCGAAGTGTTGTGCAAGAAAAGTTTTCGTCTCTACTACTAGGGCAATTGAGTGACTAACAATTAGCATATCATCCACATATAACGATATGAAGACCACTTCACTCCTACTGACCTTTTGATATTTGTAATAATCCTCATTATTTGTGGATAACCCTGCAAGAGTAAGAGTCTCTTGGAATTTTTTATATCACTGTCACGATGCTTGTTTCAGGTTATAAAGGGATTTATTGAGTTTGCATACTAGGTTCTCTTTCCCTTTCTCCTCAAATCCCTCAGGTTGGGTCATGTAAATTCTTTCTTCTAAATCTCCATTTAGAAAGGTTGTCTTAACATTCATTTGATGAACCTCAAAGTCAAAATGGGTTGCTATAGCTATAAGGATTCGGATGGATAGAAATTTGGCAACAGGGGAAAACATTTCTTCATAATCTATCACTTCTTTATGGGTGAAACCCTTTGCAACCAACCTAGCTTTGAATTTTTCTATTTTCCCTTCAGAGTTCAACTTTTTCTTGAAAATCCACTTACAACCAATGGCCTTACGTTTTTGAGGTAGGGGTACTGATTCCCATACATGGTTTTGGTTAATGGAAGCATACTCATCTTTCATGGTTTCTAACCAGTATTCCTTTTCAAGACAGGTCAAGGTTTCATGGTGAGTTCTAGGTTCTGAATATGGATATTCCCCAACCTTATCAAAATGTTCTCCATGGTAGATAAAATAATCTAGGTAAAGAGGTGGTCTACTGACTCAGTTACTTGGTCTTAGTTCAAGTAAAGGTTCACTTTCTATAGGGAGTTCAGAATCAAGTTGTGTAGGTTTAGAAGTTTCAGGTTTAGGGTCTTGAACTACATCCTTGTTTTGGGCCTCCTGATAAAAGTTGGCTTGTTTTCTATTCACCTTTGTTTCAAAGAACTCTTCCTCGAAGAAGTGAGCATCGCGGCTTTCAATAACCGCACATGTTTCAAGGTTATAGAATCGATACCCCTTATCATGATCTAGGTAACCAATGAAAATGGATTTGACAATTTTGGATTGCAATTTGGTTCTATTTTGATGTGAGATAAGGACATGAGCTGAGCAACCCCAAACT